CAAAATATGGATTCCTCCCCCTTTTTTTTATTAGTATTTATTTATTAGCTTTAATTGTCAAATTGTGCGCCAAAGGTTTATTCTTATTATTCTCTAATATTCCGTAGTTCTTAGTTTTACTTTTTAGGAATTATTATTGCCCAGGGACAACTCTTCAAGGGGGGGGGGAATGGCTGAACAAGAGCATGCTTCTGTATTTTCCCAGGAAGTACGAATAGCGGAAAAAGACATCGAGAACATCATGGATTTACCGGTACGTACCCATGTGCGCATTCGAGGGATTGAAAGAATTCATCCGCGCGTCATTGGTCGTGACGTTGAGGCCATCAAACGCTCAGAGACAATCACTGAAATTACAAATAACATGAATGAAGCGAAAAATAGGTGGCTGCGTATGGGGATTTTTAACGCGGTAAACTTTAATCTGGAGCCCACATATGATGGAGACCCCAATGACGTTTGTGTTCACATAGATGTTGACGAGGCTAAACCTAAAAAGTCATTTGGCATCTTTACCACTGAAACTGTAGTTCCAGAGTTGACACTTTCCTTGGAAAATATTTTTGGAGGTAGATACACATTATCTGGGAACTATATCCCACCAACTTCGCGTACTCATGCCGCATCTTTTTCGATTATATCTAGTGTTCCATTTCTGGGACAAGTGGGCGAGTATTACATTGGGAAACGGACTGAAAACAAAATGTATCATCCCGCTAGTAGCGAACGAATAGAAGAAATTCGGGCTACTACAAAAAATGAAAAACGGGGATTTGCATCAGAGTTTTCAATTGGATTTCAGCGAAGGATTTTGGTATCCAAGGAAAAAGGTCACTTAAATTCAGATCTTTTAAATGACTTTGCTACTACATTTAAAGGATATATGAGGCATGAATTGGCGTTATCGAATACAGGTTATCACGCGGATCCTTTTTTAGCCAATATGTATCCTTTGCCCATTCAGGGAAATCAAATAAGTGTAAAAAATGAGCTAGCCGGTGGGCCTTTTGGAGGTCAATTTACCTTTTTAAAATCTGAAATACAAGGGGCAAAATATTGGCCACTTGGACCCTTTTGTAGTCTGCAATGGAATACTAAATTGGCGGGTATATGGTCTTATCGGCAGGCCAGAATACCGTTAAATGACAGACTTTTTCTTTCAAACTGTCATGTTCGCGGGTTTAAAAGTGTGGGGCCTTCTACTCTTGATAATAATCAAACCGAGGGTGGTCGGTTTGCTGCAACAGGCGGTAATGCACTTTGGGCGACAGCAATTAGCGTAAACTTCCCATTTCTTTTCTTCCCTCAGAATGGATTGGCTTGCATGCATCTCTTTGCGAACGTGGGTAATTTACGAATGATACAGTGTCAATCAGAATTTACAGATATTGGCCGGTGGTTTCGGTCCTGTGCTGCTTCAGTTGGGTTTGGTGTAGTGGTAACACGAATTCCATTGTTTGGTGTTGCGCCTAGCGGACGTTTTGAATTGAATTTCTCACTTCCCATAGGCATTGATAGAAATGGGAATATTGCCTGGAGGAATGGCAATAAAAACCTGTTTGATCACGTCAAGTTTGGACTAACGTGGTCCTCAGCCTTTTCATTGTAAACAAGAGAAAATACAAAAAAAAGCAACAACGAAAGATGTATTGATTATTTTTTTTCAGAAAAAAATCG